GCTGGCACTCAACAGAACAGTCACACTCATTGTCCAGGGCAAACAAGCCACACCTCAGTTATTCTCTGCTTTCTCAATGGGAGACAGTCTGCCTTCCTAGGTGTTCAAGCAGCTGCCATACAACTGTCTAGGATTATCATACCTTACCCTATATACATTGCATTATCAAGCTTTGCAAGATGTTGGAAAACAGCTGTTAGATGCAGCTACTTAATGGAGAGCTACTGCAGCACGATGCACCAAGGCTGAAGCCAGGTCACAGACAGAAGGAGCAGCTTCTAGGACCAGCTAACAGGAGAAAGGGGGGGGACAAATCTTGTTTGGTATCTCAGAGACTATCTACTGGTTCCACAACCCAAAGCAGATTTCGAGAGGATAGTGCTGTCAAAAGGCAGCATCCTACCCTGATAAGTACAGAGCAAAATCTAATCTAGTTCCCTTACTAAGTTGCCATAGTTACTAACAGTATCTACACAAACTGACCTGAACAGATACGCGTGGCAGCAGGGGGTGTTCACGTTCTATTACTGTTCATCACAGAAAAAAAGGCAGTGGCTGGCAGGCTACTGAGCCCGCTCATCTGTTCACTGAGAATCCCACACCAGGTCACCTAAAAAAAAAAAAAAAAAAATGCCCGTGCTTCCCTCCCAATGTATTAGCCTGAGCAAGCAACCGATAAGCTTGTTATCTACCTAGAGAAGCCCCTACAGGACTTGTCTACATCAAAACGAAACAGAATTTGGAGACCAACCCTTTGCAGTTCTCTGCCTTAGAAAGTGAAAACAAGAGAAGGGAAAAGCAATCACAGCCTTATTTCTACAGCTGCACTGACTCCAGGTAGGAGGACAAAGTATCCAAGGCCAAACGCCTTAGTCCACCAGACAGACTTATCTCAATGAGAACTTGACTCTACAGTTACCTTGGCTTTTCTTTAGAGTTTAGTAAGTTGCACTGCTTAATAAAGCCACATTCCAGAACCTGCAAAAAGACAGTGTTTCTGGTCCCCAGCTCTGAGAGCCTTCTATGCTCCAGTCTCTCCCTGTCCCACAGACAAAAGCATCTGGGCCCCCAACACTTGTAGGTGTAGCCTAAACTGGGTCTGAAACGTATCACAGACAGAATAGCAAATCCAGCAGAAGCTGCCTACACAACCCAAAAGTGAATACAAATTTCTGATTCTAAACTACAAAATGCCTTCCAACAGATTAGAAGAATCAGGTGTTTCAGTGGTTTGGTTTTTGGGGGTTTTTTTTTTGTTTGTTTGGTTTGTTTTTTGTTTGGTTGGGGTTTTTTTACTACATGGCCTGCACAGAAGCAGCCTTCAGCCGTTAATGCTTTGCACTTCCATTTCTTCTAAGACAAACTGAGTACAGATACACCTAACTGGAGAATTACTAAGCCTCTTAAGTCTCCACAGATACAGGCAAGGGAATGCCATGAAAGCTAGGCCACTCATGCAGAAGAGTAACCTGGCTGCAAGCAGAGAGCCCTTGGAGACTCCAGAAATTTAAGCACAAGCTGAAAGGTATTGTCCATTGAGAAGCAAAGGCAATAAAAGCAGCAAGAACCCCATTTGTGAGAGCAACCTCCCCAGACCAGTGCAACCTTCACTTGAAGGCTGCAGTAGCGCTGAAGCAGACATGCAATTTCTCCAGTGGTCGTTCAGGATTTTGGAATCCTGGAAGGAAGGAACAAGACAGACCCACCTATGGAAGCTGGATCTGTGCCAAGCCTGGCGGGGATTGCAGAAGTCTCCGTTGCTTCACGCTTCACGTTTGTTTTTAGACAAGTTCAGGTTTCTCCCCTAGCACCAGATCTCTGAGCACTAACACGTTCTGATGAAATCTCTGTCTTACTCCGCAGTGCGGCAACCATGAGGCAGAGGTTCTGCAAAGCCCCTCTTCGCAACCACGTGGAAAGCAGCTACAAAGAAAGATCACACAGTTCATTAGCAGAAAGGTGGCAGTTTCCATCATTGGGCCCAGGCCTGAGACCTCGGGAAACACAGGTAGAGATAGCTACAGCAAGGTAGCCGCAAAACAAATTGGATTGAAATCCCCGGTACAGGGTCAGGGCAGGACCGACCCAGCAGGACGTCGAGGGCAAGCAGCAGCATCGAGGCCCGGCCACCCTCTGCGTGCTAACCCGGTCGTGGATGCACGTGGGCCTGGGCATGGCACGGCAGGTGCTCACCCGTGGCAGGCTCCAGCAGCAGCTCCTCCTCCTCCATTTGACCGCTCCATTTGCAAGTTAACACAATACAAATTTATACTCGGTGTCTCCACAAAGAAATGTGAATTCCAGTAGGGGCTCCAGTCAGACAACTTGGGATGGCTGGGGAGGGGGAAAGGGATGTTATTCAAGCAGTTGCTTTTCAGGATGGAAGCAAGATCTTATTTGCGAGTGCTACGAGGCTGACCTCTCAGGAGCCACGTGGCAGACCTGTTCAGCTTGCAGACACAGCACTAGACTCAAAGCAAGCCTTAAGTAACCAGCCAGACACCATCTGCTGAATTTCTCTGAACTTTATTGGCACTTTAGGAAGAACAGGGTATGGATCTTAACAACTCCTCCAAACAGGAAAAAAAAAAAAAAAAAAAAAAAAGCCTGAATATCAAGGTTCTCTTTCCAGATAAGCATATGGACCCATGAATTACTCCATAACCTTAAGGAACTGATGTTTTATTACAATCCAGTAAAAAGACTGGTCAAAAAACCTCAACATAATTTACAGCAACAAAAAATAAAACAAGAAAAAACAAGCCAGGCAAATATTTGATAAAGTACTTTCCCTCCCCCCACCCCCAAAGAGGAGTAGTCATCCAATTAAACTGGAACATGGAGAAGAAGAACAATTCACTGTATTCTAACAAATAAAAAACATGTCTATAAATCTCACTATACTACCGAAAGCTTCTTACATTAGTTTTCTTGCAAAATACCATTTCTTTACAATACAGTATACATTTCCAAGGGAAGGAGGACCATAAACACATCCTCCATCCCATGACTAATATTTTCTAATTGTGCATAGCTAGAAGTATTGAAATCAAATATCATTACATACTACTGGAATATAATACTGGTTAAGAAGAAGGCAGGGCTGAAACAACTACAAAGAGTTAGGTGGACTCACTGGCACAAGCCGTTCTATTCCTATATTGGACCATTTGGAATTAGAACGATTAAAAAAACCCTATAAACAGAAGTCATGCCAGCATCATAAAACATGAGCTCAGCAGTGTTGTGTGACCCATCAAAGCAGAAAAGGTTTACTGGTTTATTATTTGAACACATATTCCAGGCACCATATATCAGCTTGTTAGGAGATTTTTAAAATGTAATAAAGGCTTTTCTCCCCGCAAATGCATCCATAGTTGCCATGGACAGAGCAGAAGTGCTGAGAACCAGCTTTAAAGCACCAAAACAGAAGTGTAAAGGTTGTCTGTTCCCCCAGTAACGAGACTCACGAGGAGCCAGTGCCAATAACCCTTCAGTATAGAAACACACAAATCAGTTCTGACAAATTTAACTGCAATCTTTCATTTGTGACTTTCAGAGTACTGAGGCATGTGGTTTTGGCCAACCAAAAGCTTACCATGTCCTGTCCCCCTCAAAACCATGCTGTGTCCTGGGGAGAGAAGGGGGCTCCCACACAACTCATCTGGATGTTTAGAAGCAACAGGCTGAGCTATGCTCCTAACAGAGGTTGGTTGGTATTTGTGTGGATCTCCACACAGACTTGCATTGCTTCCAAGAAATAAAATAATACAGCACTGGTAAGGTTGTTTCCAGCAGCCCAAGGAATTCTTGAGGAAATACTGCAGTTTATTAACACTATCATGAACATTTCTTTTTGGCACAGTCCCCCTTTACCTCTCCCATAGAGCAGGGAGCTGAAAATGCTCTGGCACTGAGATGTTTTCCTTCTGTCACCCCTAGCATACAGAGGGGGAATCCCCAAAACTGAGAAAGTCACAAGATTTAGGATCATGCTAGGCAAGAAAATAAGTCACATGCTAGCCTGATTGCTTCTTATAGGGACAGACTAATCCAAGGAGGGCAAAGCAAAGGAGGACTCCATTGTAGGTGGAATCCATTTTTGAGAGGCCTCTTCTGAAGGTTAACATTTCCTTCTATGAAGGATCAAGGCAAAATCCAATTCAACCCTGAGCATACATGGCTGTTTCCTCCCCAGAAATGGCAGGAAGGATTCTGGGTAGCTACAGCATGGATAGCTTGGAAGACAGGAGGTGATGGGTATTACAACAACTGGTACAAACAGCTCTCAGGACCAGTCTCACAGCCACTACTGTCCCATTTCTAAGAGACAGAGCCTTCTGTTCACAAGGCTACGAAGAGGCAAAAATTCCTTCTGGGGAAAGAAAAGCACTTGAGCCAGGGATCTGGCAGAATGCTAGCGAGGATTAAGGCAGCAATTGGACAAATGTCTCAGGATCCTCTCCCTTCAAATGCTGCTTGAAGCCAGGAAGACAGATGCAGTCTTGTACATGACCCAGATACAAGAGTAGTTTTTGGTCCCCAGCTGCTGATCACTTTTTACGATTGCATCTAGTTTAAACTAAAGACATCTGAGCTACAGTAGATCTATACACTGTCATAAGGCACCAATGACTATGTGCTAAAAGGCCTCTTATGGAAAAACCTGAAATTCTATTCACATGTCTAGAAATGTACTGGTTCAGCAAGGGAAAAATACAGCTACAGGAATTTTTAGTCTTTTACATTTCTACCTACCCCTTTAGGTTTCCATTGGCAAACCCAAAAAGGAAAGCAGTGTTCTTTAGCTATCTCTGCCTCACTGGTTACATTCAAATCAGACAAATGACAGTGAACAAAGCCATTTACCAGAGACAAAACTTCTGGAAACCAGGGAAGTCAAGGCTCCAAAAATCACACTACATCAGTGGAGACATTCCAAAGACCTCCTCATGATTAGGAAATTCAAAGTTCCATCATTAAACAACAGAAGGGCAGGAACACCACAGAATCTGTTTGGTCTGCTTATGTTTGAAGGACAAAAGCTTTGGTCTTTTAGAAAGAAAGTCCATATGCTACCCCCAACCCTTCTTCCTAAGCTCCAGCCTCCCCTTCTCAACTACATGATTCAGATCCTGTATAAGTCAGAAATTCAGACCCTGGCTACTAAGCTTAATACTGAAGCTTGCACAAGTTAGTATGAAGGCACAGTGTCAAACTGTTAGCACTTTACTGTACGTAACTCAGTAAAAGTATCTGCTGGCTTCCCCACCCAACGGGAGAGGACAGCAGAGCCACCTCAGCAAGCAATACAAAATTAAACGCAGTGAGACTTTACCCAGAGCCAAACAATTTCAGATTTGCCCCAATACATGTTTGCTGTCCCAAGCAGCCCCAGGAAGGTGTAAATACTATTCTTTCTTCTGTTGCTTAACTCCAACGTTTGCCCAAAACTTGATAAATAAGACCATGGTCACTCTTCTGTAGTGGTTCCAGCGTAGCACGATTACGAGTGAATGACGGGAGAGGATGGGAAAGCGGGAAGAAGAGAGTGCAGGGCAGCAGGTGCGGGGGAGAGTTTACATGGACTCAAACTCATCAATGCGCTGCTTGGTGTTGCCCTGCCGAATCTGACGCAGGGTCTTGTACTTGTCTCGGCCCAGACGCATGTTCTCTGCATGGATCATATCATTGGCTGTCTTCTTGGTTTCATCCCGAGCATTTGCCAGCTCTGAGGAAAGAGCCTTTGGAAAAGGGGAAACAGATAGCAACGGGTTAGCACATGCCAGAGACACAAAGCTGGACGAGGAGGTTCCTTGCTGATCCCCCTAAAGATTCAATATCCATAGAGGCAGGAAACGAATGTTCACAGTTCTGGACAACCTGCTCTAGCTGACCCTGCCTGAGCAAGGGAGTGGGACTAGATGATCTTAAGAGGTCCCTTCCAACCTAAACAATTCTGTGATTCTGTGGAAGTTGTTACTATTTTTCTTTAATGTTTGAAGGTAGAAAACACCAGGCAGTCTGTCACCCTATTTATCTTTGTCTAGCACAGTAAGAAAGACTGTCTCCAGCGTTCTTCAGAAGACTCAAGTGCAGGGATCCCTAAAGACAACAGGAGCATCTTGCAGAATTTGAGCAATTACTAGCCTTCTACCACAAAAGAAACTTGCTTCAGAAGATAAAGTGCGCCTCTGTCACTCTGCCTGTGCATAACCACCACAGCATGATGCAGAACAAGCAAAGCCTGGTGCAAGTCAGAAAGCTAGCAGGCAGTGTAACAAAATGCTCGGAAAGAGTCAGCACCAGAACACTGGAGTTCCTTACGAGAAGGTGGTGCAGCACAGTTCCCTCCATGCTCAGGCCCTAGTGGGCTGCTCTCAGGGTTTTGCAATGCAAGCCAGTCAGACAAGACAATTACAGACAGCTGCTTGATAGGAACCGGACCAAGTTCTCCGATTCATTGCAGCCAGGGCTACGAACAGCTGTCAGATGGCTGGCAAGACTCACACAAGCACACTATGTCTGACAGATGCTGCTTTTTGGCACTGCGTGAAAATACTTGACTTCTATTTCCCTGAAAGTAGTAAAGCGCCAGAAGACAAGATCTGCCTCTCTGTTCAATGGTTTAGCAGCTATCTGGCAAGATCATGATCACCCTTCTTCCCCCCCCCCACCTTTTTTTAAATACCAGTAATACCTCCCAGTTGCAATTAATGGCAAGAATAGAAGCAGCACGCAGACACACACCCTCTCTGCTGCCAGCTTCTTACCTTCAAGTGTTTCTGGACCCGTTCGTTCTTCTCTGCTTCAGTGGTGCGCTCCTCCTCACTGCGGTCCTTGATGGTGGCCTCTGATCGTAGCTCAGCACTGGCTTCTGCCGCATTCTCATCCTGCTCATCATCATGCTCATTCTCAGACTGCATGGGCTCAGTGACGTGAGGGGTGCTCATGGCAGTCTTCAACTCCTCTTTGGTCTTTTCTAGGTCCTCCTGCACCATCTGTGCCTGCAGTAGGGCACGCCATAGTGAGTTAGTCAATATAATCCTGAGTGCACGAGACTTCTCACAGAAGCACTGCTCAGCGCTTGTTACAGGAAACCTTGCACCTCTTGCACACTGAAGTGCTACGTTCCAAAGCTGCTCAGCCACAATCATTTGCAAAACCTTCTGCTGGCTAACACTTCAGAGATCTGAAGAATGGTTATAATTCATGGGAAATGGGCTAGGCCTAATTAGTCAAAATATTTCTACATAGAGTTAGAATAAGGCACTCATTCCACCAAGAAAAGCAAAGCTAGGTATTTACAACAGCCTCAAGCTTGCAGACACTCATTCTAGTGTGGTATCTAGTGCAGCAGTTTAGGTCACAATGCAGAATGAAGAGCAACTCCACAAAAAAAGTGCTGCTGGTTGCTCAGATTCTGCTTTACCTTCTGTTGCCACTCCTGGGCCTCGCTTTCTTTCTTCTGTCTGGCCAGCTCCAGCTGCGTGATCCTAGCTGTGAGTTCTGCCATCTCAGCAGCCTGCAAAAGAAAGGCTTTTAGTGGGGACAAAACCAAAGTACTTGCTAAATGAAGCATTTAGTCTAAGCCCTCAGTAAAAACAGTACATCTAGGATCTTTTCAGTAAGGAGAAAGCCTTCCTGTAAACTTCAGTCCCACCGATACGGAAAGGTGGAAGGGATGCAAGGGAAAAGGAAGCCAAAAAAAGTTTTTGGTTTTGTTGCTTCCCCCCACCCCCCCTCCTCCAAAAAGAGCTACAGAACTCAATTGTTTGAATCCAAACCAAGGAAAGCAATTAGCAAGCTCTACACTCTGTTCTCAGCATCACATACAAAAAAAGGCAAAAAGCACAACAATCCAGATCTACTGTACAAATACACTTGTATTTAGGTATAAGTTCATCTGCCTAAGGCTAAAAATTAAAGAAACAAACTATGTTTCCTCAGTATATTCATAGCCTGGTTTGCTTCAAGAGCTTAGATGCCTACCCTGTCACTATTTTCCCCACCCGATTTTCAGCTCGCCCACTTACCAGCTGTTCCTGCGTCTTTTGTTGATCATGGGATGCTTTCAATAGGGCCTCCTTGGCCTCTTCTGCTTCTCTACGTTCTTTAGCCAGTTTCTCTGCTTCCTCTTGAGCTCGTTTTCTCTCCTGTTCCAGCTCCATAGCTCTGCGGGTCTGTTCTTCCAGTTCTGAAAGAATAGGGGAGCGCATTTGAAGACAGAACAAGTAAAGAACGGCAGTAGAAGAGGAAGGTGCCCTTACACCTATGTTCTGGATGAGGGTTTTCCTTCAGAGGGACAGGTAAAGGAGAGATGCAAGCAACTGCCCCCTTCCCTCTCCTTCACATTATAACTGGAGCTGGAAGACTAAGAGCCAGGCTTGTTCCAAGGCAACAGATTACTTGCCTGATTGATTTGTGGTGAAGTACCCATCCCAAAATGGCATCCATAAAGACAGAGAAGCATACAGCATTTCGCTTGGGCAACACCACACTGTAACACTGGCCAAGCAATTAGATAGTAATCACACCAGAGTACTGGCTAGTGTGACCCCTACTACCCTTTTTGACTCCCTCCTCTACAGATGTGCTGGGATAAAAGCTTCCAGCCAGCACATGAACAACTGCAAGGTACTCTCGCTGCCAGAGAGGTATCCTGGCTGCCACCCATCTCTTTAACGCAAGTCCTGTTTCAGCAGCTGCATATGGAGGGCTTACATTCAGCTTCAGAAGGCTAAACCAGAGCCCTAACACCAGTTAGCACACAACACTGGAGAGCCAAACGGCTCAGAGATGCTCATAGCTTTACTACTTGAACCCTTCTCACTCAGACTATGCATCTAAGGAAACAGCAGAACATTTCACATTACCTTGTTGAGCTTTCTTGGTTTGCTCCTCAATTTGCTTGAGTCTCTCCATTAGCTCCTCCTTCTCACGTTCAATCTTCTCCTTCTCCTTTTCTGCCAACTCCCTCTTCTTCTTCTCATTCTCCAGCAGGGCTCTGATGAGGGGGAAGTCATAATGCAATATCAAATTAACAACTACTCAGATTGGAGCGCTTCCTCGTGAAGCCATGAGCACACAAGAGGTGTGCACTACAGCACTCAGCTGATGAGTTTTACTCCAGACGTGCCCCTTTATAGAAGTGCAGAAAGAAAAAGCTCTGCTGGCATTCATCTCAATAGCAAGTTCGTAACAACAATGTCGTAAGGGAAATCTTATATCGAGATGCGTATTAGTCCCGTCAAATAGACAGACAAATCTTTAAGAAAGTGATGCTGGGTCACATTTGTGAGGAGTGCCATTTCTATCATCCCATTAGATTTACTGAAGCAGAAAGCAATCTGCTCCGTTTTTGGCTCAAGCAGATTAAGATGCTGCCAGCAATTTATCTAGCACATGATGCTACTGTGCAGTGATCGACCAAGTCCGGGTTATTCAGAACCCTACCAACCTCTCCATCTGTTTCTGATGCTTCTCTTCTCGAGCCTGTGCTTTCATCTGCTGCACCTCAATGGTATCTGGTTTACGTCTGCGCATGTAGAGCTCATGGTTCCCCATGCAAAGTGCCAAGATTCGTTTGTTAATCCGTAACCGAGGGGCATAGAATACAAAGTCCTTGGGACAAGAAAAAGGCAGCGTTAGACCTGTTCTGTCAGCATAAGAAGCCCCTGGTGTATGCAATACTCTCCAAGACCCTAAGCTTTCTAGAATTGCTAGCCAGCTTTTCTTAACAGTGTCGAATTCATCGGTGGTGGTAGTTAGACACCTGTCTTTCAGGAATTAATTTCAACCTGACAAATACACACAGGGCAGAAGTGCCCAACTTGTTGTTACAGTCTGCTGGGTTTCCTTGTAAAGCATCCCTAGCAGAGAGCATACAGTGACTTCGCTTCGCTCGTTCATTACAAACACCATCGGGGCAGGTTTACCAGGCACACCGAGCCTGTGCCTTCTCCCACCTTTCTTCCCACTTAGTTATTTAATGCAATAGTCTGGCCAGCCACATCAACTGTAATGTTTTGTCTTATACAAGGAAGTGTTAAACATTATGTCCAATGGATAAATAACTTTGTTCTGTTAAAAAGGAGCAATAGCAACAGGGAAATGCTTCCAAGCAGCAATGCAACAAGAATGACCAGAAGAACAGAAGATATCTGCTGACACAGGAAATTAATAAGCTTTAAAGATAAACAATTACATTCATATAGATTTGCAAGGAAAAAACCCTCCCAGCGTACCCTACAAAATGACCTGAAGCTTCAGCTTCAAGTAAGGGGAAAAACTGCAAAAGACCATCCCACACACTACTAAAGCCAACAGGCTGCAAAGGAAGCATTCACAGTTAATACAAGTGCCTCAGATCCCAAACTGTATTATCGGAGGATCTGAACAGTCTTAGGAGAATCAGAAACCCTAAGCAAAGAGCTTCTCCCTGCCACTGACTTTGAACAGCTTAAGGTTATATTGAATAAATGTCTACCCTCCTAGCCAGAAACAAATCCCAACTATCACCTTACTGCCATTAGACCCATTGTGTGCATACTGCTCTGAACAGACCAGGTAGTAGAGCACTGCTTAAGTCAGCGTTGACATCATTGATGATAAGATTGGGGGCGGGGGGAAGAGATTATTCAGCTAAGAAGCCAGAAGTTTAATTTGAATTTTGCTTCTTACTGGTGCTTTCTTGTCAATAGGCTTGATAACAAATTTCTTGTCATTGAATGAGATATTTCTGATCTCACTCCAAGGGAATCCAATTTTCGGTGTTAGCCTGCAGAAACAGAAAGCAAGAGGAAGTAAAAAAGCCCCAAGTCATTCCAAATTCTTGACTTACAATACAAAGCTCAAAATTCTACCAAGTCTGCCCTCAGATTTCAGTACTCTTACATTGACTGGAATCAACAAACAAAATTAGTCATGCAAATGAACTACAAACGTAAGAAGTAGTTTTTCAATCCTGCCTTTTTTTTTTTTTTTAATGGAAAACAGAACTGGAGAATGCGTCTGCAGCAGGAAGATTAGGGATACAAGTAAAACTAGCTTGGTAAGATTTTCCAATTTCTTGTATTTTTTGGTCCAAAGCAGCACATTTTACGGATCATTCTGGCAGTGTCAAAAACATAGACAAGAATGATATAAAAATTGTAGAGTTTAGTTGAAGACTTGAATTCCAGAAAAGATTAATTTTGAATGCCTTTATACTGAAAGGAGCTGAAGACAATGATGAGGAGAGGGAGTGTATTACCTGTCATTCTGCTCATAAATGTTGAGTCCAAGAGCATCTACACCTAGCCAGAGTTCAGAGCCCTTCTTGTTCTTAATGTTGAAGTAGTTCACACCATACATTTCCAGGTCCTGTGCAATTTTCAGGTACTCCAAGACAGCATCTTCTCTGCAGCATGCAAAAAGAAGATATTCCTTTTTGAGTCTATAAGCCATTAGAGCAAGAAGGTGCTGTCATCTTACATGGGCAGAGCAGCAACAAGTTAGCAAAGGTTCCAGGCATCACCCTAGTAGCTCATAACAAACTCACTCTGCAAACTCAGTGTTGTTTTCCTAAGAACAGCCAGCTGACATGGACTAGGAAGGGCAGAAGCATGTGAACCCAGTCACTCTGAGCAGAATAACCTGAAGAATGCTAACTGATCCTGAAGCAAGCCACGGACTTCTGTATGCATTCATACATTACACACTAGCACATATCACACTACTTTAAATACAGTAGTTTCACACTGCATCAGTTACCTAATCATTCCTCGATGTTCCTCATGCCACACCTGGATCCTCTCCTCCCACTGGTCCTTGTTAAGCTTGTGCTGCTCCAGAACTCTAGGAAGAGTACATGGGATGTTTGAGACCAGCCACTGCATTTATGCACACACAGTCACATCGCTCTTGAATAATGCTTCATTAAGTACCCCACTGACATCACAGTTCCCCCCCAAAAACATTCCAGGAAATACAGTTTTATTGTAAGGCTAGAGACACACTGGTCAGTATTCAGACTTCTGATAAATGGTAAGTTGTATTCAGTTGTGCTTCTTGTTGTAGCATTACATCTTTTCGTTTTGGAGCTTCTCTCACTACTTCTGATTAGAGCTTCTTCAGTAAGAAGATGTTTAAGATTAAAGCTCTTAATTAAACAAATACTAACCCAATCCTCAGAGAGGCACCAGGCTATATTTTATTCTGAACGTTCCAGTCAAGACATCCTGCCCCCCTCCCAAACAAATCCCAAACCCTTTAAGACAAAGAAGGTCTAAGACTACCCAGGTTCCCTCACCTCTGGGGGAGCAGTTTGTCACTAGCAAGGTAGCCAGACTTGTGCACCTCTTTGTTGAAGTCTCCATATTTTGACTGGACAGCATAAGAAGCCAGAAGGACAGCTGTTTCTGGAGGGCAATAAATGTCATCATTCAAAATTGCCTCCTTCACTTGGAGGAAGAAAAGGCGCTGCGTGATGTCCTGGATCAGCTCTTCTGCCACATCCTCTGGGTAGAACTTGGCACGGAATTTGAAGAGCAGGGGGCTTTCTTTGCGTACATCCTGTGCTGTTACCTGGAACAGAGTTACCAGATTTTATAGCCTACATACCAAGCGAGGGGGAGCAGGTTTACAAACAGGAAATCAAGCTTGCATTAGGAGAAAAATTCTCCTTTCCAATGCAGAAGTGAGTGTGCAGAAAAGCAAGGATTTTCACTTCCTTACTGCTAAATACCTCATCACCTCTCCCCACAGGACTTATGACAAGCCACTAGTTACAGTAAGTGCTAGGTAAGTTACTTTCCAGGTTTCTCTCCAACCAAGATGCTCATGTGAGCACCACATTAGCATGTAACCGGGAAGGGTAACAGATGTGCTGGATAACAAACAGGTCTAGATGCAGGAGGACCAGATCAGACACCGTGACTCCTTGTACCTTGGGGAGGGGCGTGGGGACCGAAGGAAGGCAACACCAACTCACTAATCTTGCATTACTTTAGGTGCGTGGAGAGGCAAGAACAAATCCCTGACAGAAGTACAGAGACTGAATTTGTCCCTGCCATCCCAGAGAAAGGAACGCAGGATAAGTGAAAGCTTGGAGCAAACATACCTTTTTGTTCAATTTCAGCCATGTTGAGAAGCCCTTGGTGTCCTGATACTGAAGTCCAAAAAACCAGACCTCTCTTAGACCAATTGTCTTGACGACCTGGAAGAAAGATGATTAGCAAGAGTGTCAGCCAGATGGGCTGATCTCACTGGCGGCAGAGAACGTGCCAGCGGTAAGTTCAGACGAACACGAAGACGACCAGTGCCCTAGCCTTCTGCCTCCCCTGCTATGGCGCACATACGTAGATCAAAGCGCATCTGAGGGGTCTTAAGTGGGAGAGGTATTGTATTCTTCCCTCTCCCTCATCTCTTTAAGGCTTGTTGCAATTTATAAAAAATAGTTGGGACACTATTTTCTTCAGCTACTTATAAGCTGACATGTATAGCCCAAATACGATGCAACAGGTCCGACAGGTGTAATAGCTGCCAGGAATCAACAACGCAGCTCCGTTTTCAGGTACGCCCCTCACTTATGCAAATGTACTACTCCTGGGCAAGCCACGAATCACCCTGCTAGCTCGTGTCCTACGAGGCTATGCTATTTTAAGATTTGTATTCTACTCCACCGAGAGCTGTGGACAGGCCTTTCATGCAGCTCTTTAATGAGTGGCACCATTAAGAGGTACTACAGTGGGTAAATCGATATGCTGTCCCTTGTACCAGGACAAAGAGCCACCACAGAAATTAACTACGCCACCATGTAAGCTCTCTCCTTAGTCATTTCCCTAGCACACCACGGGTGCCGTGTAAATAAGAGTTAAGAAGGCTTTACAGACATACTGTAACAAGAGACAAGAGCCTCACGGGGGGGCAAGACTACTGCAGTATAATGCTACTGCCGGCAAAAAGGAGGGGGGGCAAGTTTCTTGGTAAAGCCTGTTCACTAGCGCAGGGCCACAGCTTTGTGCCCTGGCAAGCCTGGGACATGCCAGAGGCTGCAGCAAGTCCAGAAACTGAAGTTCCCCCACATCTCTCCTGAACCCCCAGGAGCTGTTCGCTTACTGCCAAACAAGACACTTACCCGTCACCTCCATTACTAGACAAGGAAGGGGGAGGGAGAAGACACTTGCCTTTAGGTCAAGTACAACACTAAGCTGCTTTTACACACCACCCACCCCTCGGGCGTGCTCACAGCTGCCCTCCTTCAGAGGGCCTCAGTAACTGGACAGGAGGGGATAAGCCTTGCCCTGGGAAAACCAGCTGCCTGATCATGGTGTCCCCTCTGCCAGGTAAGCCGAGGTAACTTTGTACTGCCTTGTCTCGTGTTTTATGATTTCTCCCTCAATGCCTACTTCCTTTTAAGTTACTTCCCTGTTGAATCCTAAGGAGGCACTCTGTTCCCTTCTGATGCGGTCTCTAGCTTTGGCAAGGCACAACACCAAGGACATAGGTTCCCTGCACACACATTACGAGTTAGATTCTTCAGGGCTCGGATCAGACACTTCTTCTGGCCTTACAAAAGCAGCATTAGGGCCCTAGTTCCTTTCAGGCCCAAAAACCAAAGGGAGCTTTCAGCAGAGGCATGCTATTAGTAGCACACACAGAGACAAAACCCACCCAAGGTCGTGTAGTGTATATACATCATCCCACTGGAGTCCATTAAATTATTCAGCCTGTCCTTGCTTGAATATGAACTGAAGAGCTGGCCTGAAGCCCCTGTAAACACGGGGGAATGCGGGGCAGATAAACCTTCACTTGTGCACATCACGTAGGAGGATGCACACAGCTACAGGCAGTTTCGGAGAAGAATCAGAGTTTGCTGCATGCGTTGAAAGCTCGTGGTACAGAGAGAGGCAGAAAGGCTGTCCTGCAGCCTAAGGGAAGCCCTGTTCTCGGCAGCGTTGACATGTGAATGGGATGGAAGCTCCCCCCTCTGCTGCATGTGTCTGCTTGCCTCGCTTCCATTCGTCAGCAGCTTTCGCCTGGGAATTCAACGCGCTGGACTGCCAGCAAGGAACTGAAAGGCTTCACACTGAGGCCCTGCACAAAAGGACATTTATTTCACAGCAGAAGTCTGCACAGAAATAGCAGTGACAACAAGGGACTGGACAGAGGAGAGAGGGAGACAGCACAGCACACAACATCGCACCCCCAAGCTGCTATGAATCAAGGGGGAGTGGGAAGGGGGAAAAGACAGTCCTCCTCCCGCCTTCCCACCTCAGCTTCAGCAGGTTCCTTTAGTTCCATTTAGCAAGGGAAAAAGCATGAAGAAGAAACAGCTTTCTACAGCTGCAAGGAGTCTGGCTGGCAGTTAGCAGCTCAGTTATGTTTGGGGTGTACAGCACCCAGAGCCCTGACGAACTGTTGAGATGTTCCAAAAAGCAAAGTTACTGGCAGTGGCTGAGGACGGAGAAGGGCTAGCACACAAGACAGGAGAACAGAGTACTGTTTAACACAGAACACTATACTTAAGTGCCTAAAGTTTACACTCTCGGCTGGAGAGGGACATCTTTTCTTTGTGCCAGGGAGAACATTAAGTCAGTCCCATCTTTAGCCTGCAGTACAAGGCTTAGTCTACAGCTGGCAACAGATCACAGGCAGCCTTAAAATCCAGCTGTCCCACAGTACCTTGACCAGCTACAACAAAGCTCCTCATCAAGTACCATTAGCTTAAAATTCCACTTGGTAAGCAATACTGCCTCAGGGGAAAATGTGCGTTTCTGGGTGACTCTCACTTCACCTTCTGCAGACAGTGTAAGCACACAGTAGTACGATTTTTTTAATTTATGTTCAGAGAAGAAACACAAGGTCTTCTGGGTAACTTTTTCTCTCACTTCTCCTTACTCCACATTTTCCAGGTCTGCATGACGACTCCTGTCCTCCCCCTTCTCGCTCCAAACGATGTTCTTGCCATTGAGTGCTGCCCCACAGCAGAAGGAGAGCCATAAGCAGCCTCTTAAACATAGATGAAGATGATGATTGAAGATTGCCCGCATTCTCAGCCCAGGATATATACCGCCACACTGGCAAACAAGTGCAGAACCTACATGAAAGCACCGTCTACACGTGGGCAAGACCAAAGCGGGCAAGCAGAGGAGAACACGTTCCATTCGGACCAAGTATCCTGCACCAAAGGCCAAAGCATCCCAAAGGCCAAAGCATCCCAGGCTATTCTGCAGCACATATCTGCCTTGAACCTCACCTGCTGTCCCAGTTAAAGATGAAGTGGGCCTCTCTCCTGCTCTCTGACAGGCATGTCAAGTACTTTTGAGAGAAAACTGCTAGCAAACCTTATTGCTGGAGGAGCTCTGACCTGCAGTTTCATATGCCGTAGTCAAAAGTGACTTAGAACACAGTCTTCAGGTACCCTAACTTAACACCCAAGACGGGCTCCATCTACAGCCATAAACATTCAACTGTTCCCTTTCCATTTGGCTGATGGATATATTTCTTTCCCTTTCAAAGTGCTAAAATGCCAAAGTGCTAAATGATAGGATCATCTTTGAGTTTTTAAGCTTATTACAGTTTGCCATTGACCTCCTTAGCAACAAACAGTCCATTTTTGGTTGGACTACTGCTTTTATAAAAGCCAATAAGTTTCCACACATTCCTGTGGAATTTGAGACACATTTCCATACCACTCAGCCGCCAGCCTTCATTACACAAACAAGAGTTCTGGGGTTTGCTGGAGGAACCCGTCACTGTCCCGAGACTTGCTGCTTTCTACCATGAAACTGCCATAGTAAGTTTCTGGTTCAGTGCTTTCATCTACTGGATCAAGTGCTCCAGACCAGTCTCCTATGTATTTAAACACTACTAGGTAGGACCTTACCAAGGCTAAAGGCTTCTCTACAGCCTCCCTCCTCACAAAGCTTAGTTTACAACCCATGAGAGACCAGCCACTTCCACTCCAAAACACAGCTCAACTCAGCTGGAGTTACTCAAAAGTTGAGAGGGATTGGGTCAGCCTGTGTTGTAAGCTTTAGCAACTCTGAAAGGAGAGAGGGGCAAACTGGTACTCTACAAAACCATTAAACTCACTGCAGCAGATAAACAAGCCAGGGCAGGGCACACAAACTCAGAATCTTAGGAACTCTGGCTCTTGATGAAATCTGTAGGATCCTTAAGAATTAAAAACAAAAAATAAAGTACCCCCACACTCCACTACATATTAGGCTCAATGCTGAACATAAAACATAGCATCAGTGACTAGGTTTAGAGTGAGCAGAGATGCTTATTGTTACAATTTTAACCCATACCTGAGTGCACTTTTCTATTACAAGCTTAGTTTTGACCCCAAAAGCTCACAAAACTGAGGAAAAGCCTCCTAGGAAAGTTAACCACATGCTTTCAAAGTCTGAAGTTAGAGATAAAGTTTTTCCAATGTCACATTTCTCCTTAACCTGTGACTTGGCTTCACGGCTCTTAATTGGACAGAGATCACCTTTAATGAGATTGGGTGCTTATGGTTACTCTGAAGGCTTATTCTGGAGTGGCATGCTGAAGCCACCATCTCCCGGACTTCACCATGTCCAAAAGCTAGCGCTGGAAGGACTGAAGCTTACGTGGCCAGCTACAGGCTCAGAGAGCACTAAGCACATCACTGAGAAGCAAATCTGTTCTGAAGCTGGAGAAATAGAGTTCATTTTAGGCTGGGGAAGGAAGTACTGACTGAACACTTTAGTAACCACAACTCATTGTTAAAAAGATCCTGATGCAGAGATCCCCACCCATCGACTGCATTCACCACCCAACAGACCTAGTACAGCAGACAGCTACGGCTCCTCTACCAGAGGCTAGAGGGAATAAGGGGCTCTGAAGGGGAAAGAAAGAACAAGGTGCCAGCAGGATCCAAGGGCAGCAGTGATCAGAAACAAGGCATTTGAGAAGCTGCCTCATACAGCATGGGGGACATGGAAGAAGGGAGGATGTTTTCATACCGCACAAGTCAAAGTGGTTGAGGACTTTGTGACCGGTCTGTATGCAGGCTGCCTGAGGAGCCTGCAAGACGCAGTGTCCACTAAACCAGGGCATTTCCATCAAAGCTTCCCAGCCAGCCAGCTGCGGAGCACCTAGGCAAGAGAGTTAGTTACCTCTCTCCCGGTCCAAGGTACAGGCTAGCTCCCCTCACCCCCGCAACAGCCCAAAGTCTCACTGGTTCAAGCTAGAATCAGTTTACCCAAAAAAAGGAAGTCTGAGAGGAAAAAAGACTGGAGGGACACAACTTCAAAGCTATCCACTGCAGTAAGTAGCTAAGCAGTTTTACCAGAGAAACGATTAATCTTTCATTAGGAGATACACAAAGCAAAGCAATGCTTTGTTTTACACGCTAGTCTCCAGTCTAACTGCACTTCAGTCTGGTACAGAAAAGGGTCAAAGAAGGAAACCAAGCAGCTATCACTGTTGCAGTGCCTGTGCCCTGCAAAGCAGTATGTTGAGGTACCAGTGAAGTAATCAGGACTGCGGGATAAGCAGCACCCCTGACAGGCACAGCCCATCCTCAAGCTCTTCTTTTAATCCATCCCTAGCAGCTGAGGAGCGGGAGCAGAGGTACTGGTTTTGCTAGTGAGTCGGTAAGCGGCGAGTTCAGCGGCTGATGCTAAGAGGTACATAAGCAAAGCTGCAGAAGACAGACAGTACAATCCTCCTGCCTCAATTAATACAGGTTTTGTCCATGCACACAAGCTTAAGCTATTTAAGCTAAAGCCGTACAGTTGCAAGCCTGGGGGATGGGGTGTTACAGGATGATCTCTAGTATAAATCATGATGTTACTGCACCGTATATCAGCTCAATGATATTTCTACAGCCAGCTACTTTGGGGCAAAAGATGATTTCCAACAAAGCAGTGAAGCATCTGCATTGTTCTATCACTACAAAAATTCACTTTGGAATTTAACCAAGCAGGAAAGAGGGAGACAGGAACATTTCTCCCTCAAGCCCATTCACCTATTATTACTGCGGAACTTCAGACTCAAACTGTTCCTCCTCATGAAGCTATTACCTAGATACAAGCTTTCCAAGTCTTCTGAATCCTATTCAGAGTAAGTCAGAATTGTGTGGCATAATGAGTATATTTATTAAACTTTATACACAACAGGTGGAAACAAATATTGCCTGAATGTTACTTAACAAAGCCAGCAGCATGCACTGAGGTAGCTGTGCAGCTAGAAATCTTGGTAATGCTTGGCAGCTTCCCTTTTGCTTAACTCAGAACTGACAGCTCAAAGTGAAAGGGCACTCCAGGCCAAAAGCATGCACATTATCTTATTTTTTTTCTGTGAAAGAGTCAAAAGTCAAGTTTCACATCAGAAGGTCAATGTGCTGCAACAGCAAAACCATAAGTTTGCTTTGTAGAGGAACTCTCTCTTCCCTCAAAAAAGCATTGATGAAAGCAGCTTTTTCACAACCAGCATCACGCAGAAAACACCAGATTAGCAATTCCAGGAGCACAACATAGTTTAAGGGAGCTAGAAAACGAACAGCCAAGACCACCTCAGGATAGCGACTGAGAGCGTGCCAACAGATGATCAGTCAGGCAGCGGTCACTGCTTAGTCCCCATCAGCAAGGGGAACAGCTCCGGACTATCCCTTTACCAGAACTAATCCACACAAACAGCTCAGCCATTGGAAACACACTGGATGTATGCCAGCTGACAACATATTCAGAGCCCCATCCCCATACTAAAGGGAGCAAGTCTGGCATTTACGGTCCGCTCACTAGAGGCTGCCATGTTTTGGTTTGGTATTCAGTTAGTTCTTTACGCAAAGATCAACAGTCTGTTTGAGCATCCATATACAACAAGTCTTTGCTTTCCTTTATGTGCAAGTCTGACTATAAAGTCTCTTCTGCAATAGAAAAGAGCCTTGAATTTTCCATTAAAAACAAATGGACAGACAACAGTCTGTTGTGTATCTGCATTCAGAGACCAAGATGAAACGTTTCCCATTGTGGCAGGAGCTGAATAGCTACCTCCTTTGCAATTAGTTTCCTTAATTGCAAAGGGCCAATGATTAGATCGCAGGGCAGCAACAGAAACTGGGATTAGGCTCCTCAACCACTCACATAGCAGTAGCCTCCAAAACTCCTTATTCATGCTAGAGGTGGAAGACTTTTGACATCCCACACCTGCCAACTCCCTACCTTACTGCTCTCAACGTTCTCAAGCCCTGGCAGAGGGTCAGTCCTCCGACCACCATCACTGTGGTGCTCCCACACTAACACCACCTAGCACATCTGCCACTGGTGAGACTGTAGGACATTCATCTCCATATCAGCCCTATCAGGAACCAACATCACCACCTCCACAAGGAAATCTCGTGTGCTAGGTGGTAGAAAACAGTTTAATTCTTATTCCAGTGAGTGTGATATACGGACAGTATAAAGAGATGGTGTCCAGACACCATATTTTAGAAATAGCAATTGTTTAACAGCTAGCTTCAGACACTTTTTCCCCCCACTGTATTTCCTCTTCCAACTCCACCTACAATCCAATTTAGCTGAGGTAAACACTGCCTCATTTACATTAGCAACTTAGAAACTTTGTTCTGCAACAGCAGTTGTTTTTTCCCTTTGCAAAGTGTTTACTATGGAAAAAACAAAACAAAACTTCTGTTTAGACAGGTGCTGTGTAAAACACACTGCAGGGAGGAGAAGGTGCAGCTGTCTGAGAACATGACACAAAGGAGTGAAATCAATTAGTAAGACATGAAGAGTTCCCATACTGGAAACATGATCAGATGCTCCTCAAACAGAGACAAGTTGCTGAAGCCCAAGTCTGCCACCACAATGTCAGTTTGCAGCAAAAGCTGCAGATGGTCTAGAGCTGACTGAAAAAATTATGTGCAGATTAAAAATACTACTGACTTCAGTAGTATCACTTCTTAGCACCTGGTCCTTTGCTTGGATAATGTCAGAAACCAGACACTGAAAAATAATCATGGGAAGCATCCACGTGAAGAACACCCCCTCCAAAAAAACAGTTCACCTTTTGATGAACTTGGGGGTATGTCACCTCAGCTTCATTGGCATACGCTCCCATGAACAAACTGTGGTGGAGTGCCATCTTGCACGCATGGATTCTGGCCAGAATCCAGCTCTCACTTCCATCAATCAAAAAAAACCTGTCAGACTGGAGACCACACAGGGCTAAAATATGTAGGAGCTACTACGTAGTAACACACAAATAGCTGAGAACTACACTGCAACTCAGAACTTTCCGGAAAGCCTTTCTGCTTTTCCCATTATGAAAGGATGCTCTTTTAGTAAAGCCTAGGATCTCACTCTATGCCTTCCATTTCAGGGCTGGGCTGCAAAGAGCAATATAATATCTAGTGTTGAATCAGCCAGCTGAGTACGAGAGAAAGTAGTAGTTTGTGGTCAAACATCTAAAAAAAATTTTAAATTAGGTTTGCTGGCCCCAAATGAAATAGCTGACTTCTATGGGTGGGTCAGCCCTTAAGTTTCTCTCTTCATTAAGATAGGTACTGTGTAGAGCTGGCCCCAGAACGCTTAGCACTACCGAACCACACCCATATCTGACATACCTGGCCTGGCAGTTCCTCCACCTTGTCATTAATCCAAGAGTCATTTTACTTTTCTTTAAGCTATGAACTTACTGTTCAGATTTTCCTCCAAGTAGCAAATCCACGGCCTTCAGGATTATAGCAGAGAAACATAGTGGAGCCTGTCCAAAGTTGCAACTGCTGCAATTGATAATGTCTGCCTTCAGCTGCTCCAACTTTGGGCTGCACATGCCTCCCTGCTTCTATTTGGACCAAAGCAGGAGGAAATTTGCCCGGCCAGTGAACGCAGAGGAAGGCTGAGGCACCCAGATGAAGACAGCCCAATACAGTACAGTATACAACTTCTCTTGCGATTTCCCTCAGGGCCTGATGGGAGCACAGAGTATCACTTCACCTGCACTTAAGGGTTGCAGCAACGTTCAAAAGCTGGCGAAGCCTCTCCTGTTTTAGAGACCAACTACTCTTTGAAATCAAATACACAATGCTTGCAAGTAAGCCAACCAAAGACAGCTTACTAGCTCCCTCATAAGACTTTTCTTACCTTATGAATTATGACTGCAGACATCTACTGCTTTCCAATTATTATTATTATTATGAGCTATAGCACCAATTCAGTTCATTAGAGGTAAGAATAGCTCCTAACACATTCTTGGAGATAAAAAATGCACTAGTTTTGAAAAAAACGTAGAATTTCTTACTATGCTGAGTTCTCTTGAAGTTATTATACACACTGTCATTTAATCTTCGAAGTCCTTTAGAAATTGTTTGCTGTTGCCTTAATAGAATCACAACATCTGTATCAACTTTAGATCTTCTGCACCTCCATCACATACCTGATCAAAGAGTTGCTTCCCTGTAGTGTTGGGCTGGATGGCAAACTCCAGCTCAGCATCCATGGTGGTAACACGCACACTGATCTGGAAGACAGAAAATGCGTCATTACAACACATGCTCTAAAGTGACACTACCCAATAATGAAAATCGAAATTTGCCTACAGCCAGAGATCAGCTCCCAAGCCTCCACAAACTTCACTGTGAGCAGTTCCAAAGTCATCTACCCCGCCAGCATGGTGTTCCCAGTTTCCCTATAGAATATAACTTTCCTGTTTTGCAGTGTAAGAGTTTATCCTCTCTGTTCCTACTAATATTCCCATCCATATACTGACACATGTAATAGCTATTTACAGCTTATGAAGTTGAATTTCTAGCATAGAACATTCCAGTGTCCTTCACAAAAGCAGGGATGTTGCAAACCTCAGTACACACAACCAGACATCCAACCCTTCCATTTGAAGGATGAATGTCAAGGAAGTCTTAGGCTTAGACCTAAGAAGTAGGATCATGAATGGTCTTCCAGAAGAAACATTATATGACACCCTGTCTTGACAGGAAAGTCTCACCACCACGTTTTCACATGTGAAATGAAAGTGGCAAGGGACTGCAGCAAGGGACTTTGCAGTTTCATCCCACAGAAGCAGGAAGACATCTGTACCTCTTTCGCCAATAGTTCTCATTAAGCAAGTTTAACAGCAGAGGCATTTCACCTCAAAGATTACTGGAAAACATAGCCAATTCCATTCACAACTCCTGATCATCACTGGAAAGCATCATGTAGACTCTTAGGGGTAGACAGGAATACGTCTGCCTGAATGCAGATGCCTTAACTTTTGACCAGGCGAAGTAAGGCCCGCAAGTACACCAAGCTGTCTGAGAATTCACTTCTATTTGCATACTTATCAACTGAAAAAGGTAAAGATATTTCACAATTTATGAACACAAGCTGCAGATATTTTAGATCAAACTGTTTTAATGCTTTTCCATCAAATCAAATGTTGAAGTTGTACAGACGACATATTCAGAGTGCACCAAACCCCAGCACACAGGCCTTGCATTCATAGTTCTCCATCTTGCCAACAGCCATTTACCCCATATCAACAAATCCTAATTTATTTGCTCTTCAGTGCAATCAATCCTCTTAGCACTTTCCACCAGACTCCCAGGGGTGAGGGGTGGGGGGGAATTATGCTGTGAACAGTTTTAGTAAGAATAACGCAAACTCACATTTAAACTATAAGCTAACCACATGACGCTAAAGACCAAAAAAAAGCTAGAGTAAGCAGAGAAATATTCAAGGAACCACCCAGTACCAATATGATCACAGCCAGTCCCGATCCCTGTATTTTTACTGAGTATACGGACAGATTTCACACCTTGTTTACTAAGAAAGCAGCAGCAGACTGCAAGAGAGCTACAACCATTTTTTTTCCATAAGCAAAAAGCATTCTGCTAGTTAAATCTAAGTCAAGTGCCGAAAAGAGACCACTCCATCCAAATACATTTTGAAGTTTCCCAAAAAGCCTACTTGATCCTAGGCACACCGCTATTTTCTACTTGATATCCTCTCGTGATGAACCTAAAGGTTTTCTTGTATTAAGTTTAGCTAAGAATTTAAGCACATTCTGTAAGAGGTTAAAGGTAGGCTTAGCACAGCAAAGCCGAAGTCAAAAAGAGTTGCAGTTCTGATTGTTGCATGTATAAGGAATGCTATTTAGACGTTATTGGAGCAAAGATATCATGAACAAGCAGACCAGGAGTAAGTCGGTTTTGAAACCCTCTGAACCTTCAGGCACAGTGAAGTCAAACTGAGGAAAAACCATCCCATAGCAGTAGCAAGGAAAGAGCAAATGACCTAAACTCATAAGCAATCAAACTTTGTTTAAAATTAGCAGCTTTCAATAGCATGCAGTTGTGTTAAGTTCTCTTGCTATACCTCCCCAAAATTATTCTCCTCAGACCCTGGATGTTGACATTTGGCTGATTTCACAGCGCTTTGGTGAACCAGGAATCCAGTCACTCGCTAGAAGGGCTGAACGCTCCCCAAAACAGCTTTGCTACTTGTACCTGGAAGCAGTCTCTTCTACCAGAAGGAGTGCCAGCTTGTAAGCCTGACGTGCCCAGCACACCTACCAGCGAGAGCAAAGGTGTCCATAAGCCACGTCTAAGTATAAGAGGGGATACATTAAACGAGCCATTAAGCAACAGGTTGATTTTTGTTTGTTTTAAAGTCTTTCCTGTTCACCTAAAACACTAATGTACCAGCTACCACGAAAGAAAAATAGTCTTTTTGCTCCACTGTTTATGGATAAAACACAGTAGCTACTCTTATCTGATATCATCTGTAAAGGTGATTGAACGCTGAAGTATCTGAGCACAGAGGAAGCACCAGAAAACAGAACCGAAACATTTGTGGCAGCTCTTCGCAACTTGTGCCCAAATAGCTTTTAAGCTCTTCAGAGCAAATCAGACCTTAAAATTTAAAATAAAGCTGCTTCAGTAAGTATCCTCATAATTCACGCAGAATACTTCTTTGTAAGACTCACGTCTTTGTTAGCACAGCAAAATAAGGTCCCGTGCCGGAACCAGCAAAATTCCTTCACTGTCACTCCCTTAAATGCACTTAAGCTATCTGACCAGTTATCATCCTTCGATTAGTACATTCAATAGGAAGAGATACACTTTTTCCCCCAGTAGAAGCCCCCCGTGCTCAAGATGCGCACCAACCCAAGGCGCAGCAGCAGCAGAGTCTTGAATGGGGTCTGCACTCGCACCTCCACAGCCTATGCTATTTTCGAAGCCAGCGTTGAGCTAAGACACCGCAGGAAACAGGCTTGTGCTGCCGAGAACCACACCCCGGTAACGCTGGCTTCCCTGGTCCGAGCAGGGTTTCGCACGTTCAATGGCATGCTGCTGTTAACCGTCAGCAGACCGAGCTGGGGAAAGCATGTCCCGGGCTGTACCGCTGACATTTTAACCACTAGCTTTGTAGTAACTTAATACTTGGCTGAGAAGTTCGTTTGCTGTAAAACTGAGTTTTGTTAAGCCTCATTGGTGTGGAAAAAACATACGAAGAATTTTTTCCCACATGCTACCAAGCCAGGGGTTTTTTGTGCCAGTTGTGAACTGGAAAAACAAAGTGAGGTTTCTGCCATTGCAGGTGGTGGGAGGCACTGCTCTCCACTCCCAGTTAGCAGATAAGAGGCCTGACAATACTTCAGAGCAAGCATTTTGTTTCATTTCAAGAGCCTGCATACTGGCACAGAAATACAAATTGGTTCTCCTAGCATGTAAAAAGGCTGAAAAACCAAGCACCAAGGGAGCTTGCTTCTGCAAGATACCCAGGAGCCACCTCACTACTGGCAACTCCGTTTCACTGACCTTCACGTGCTCTGCCTGCAGCTCAGCAAACTACAGAGATCCAGACTGCTGTAACCTCTACCTGACAAGTGCCAGACACTGCATGTGCACCCTCATCCTCCCCATTCATTTGAAGTCTTGCTTTTAAGTAAAACCACTTTACTGAGGCATTCACAGCTGCGTACTGCCCAACACAGATGTTGCACAAGGGTTACACAACAGAAGCGCTACACCAGAAGAAAGCCAGCATGATCCAGTCCCATCGTAATTTAGACTCCTCTTTGCCTCGTCCCTTAAGAATTACTGCGCCAAAGCACTTTTAAACCATTTATCTAGTTTACCATCAATGCTTATTCTAAGAAAAGCCTCAAGATTCATTAGCATTAAGTTTTTACACTTTGTATTTCTAAGCCATCTAATGAGGTCTTCCTAGGTTTGAGGGCTGGCATAACCATCAGCACGCCTTCCATTTGGGTTGCAAACAGAACAAAATGCTCCTCAATAAGATAACCAACTCGGACTTCTGAGCATACACAAATCTAGCTCTGTCAGTCCAGACAGGCAAGGTGCACACTGCCGAGATGTAAGGAGTAAGAGTAAATACAGTGAGAAAGAGACCTTGCCCACCAGCAATCAGATCACAAGGTCCACAGTGGCAATCCTTATCCCCAAGTATACTACACCCCTTTTCCAAAATTTGTTGTTAGTAAATTTTGTCTTAAACTTTTAACACTCAGGAGGTGTTTTTAGAGGACTTACTGGATTTCATTAAACAGATTTACCAAAAAAAACCCCACCAACCCTATCCTAATGCAGTGATTTATACTCAAATTCTATTTAAAGCAACTCATTGATTTTTTTCACCATAGCATTTATAATGCACTCACTGCTGCATCCAAGTGTCTGCAACCCTCTAAATTCTGCTTAGATCTTAAACTAGCAGAAGTTTTACCCCAGTAGGTGGCCTCTAAATAGCCTTCTTTTCCCTTTCCATCATCATTTAATATAGTATTTTGCGTACAAACACCTAGCAACATTATATGAAAAGCTTCCAGAAGAGGCTGTCCTGCACATTACAAGAAAATTAAAGTATTATATTTCAACAGGCAAATTTACACTCACCAAGCTAAAAAAATACTCAAGAAAGAAGCCCATATTTAACTGATTCATTTCATAACAGCTACAGGAAAGAGCTAGAAACCTAGCAACTCTTCCTCTTCTCTATTTGAGGAATTAGCATTGTTCTACCAGCCTAAGCACAGCTGAAGATTGCCACTACCAGAGCACATTAAAGAGCTTCCTGCTGCCAAGGACGGTGCTGTGGCGAGGGCGAGACCTCCCGCACAGGACCCCTCGCGTGGAAGGGACGTCTTCAGCCCCCAGAGCAGCTGCAGCCAGAGAAAGCTCCTTTCGATAGGCAAAAGCTTTCACAAGCTACAGGACACCACGACCCTCCTTCCATGGTGCTTAGTGACTACAGGAGACCGACTTCACAGTCGGTGGTACCAGGCACTTATCTGCAACATCTTTTCAGAAATTTTAACATTGCCCGTATACCTCCAAGTCTCGCTTTCTGCCGCACTGAGATTCCCAATAAGTTTTACTAGCAGCAATGATTATCGGTTATCTTCCAGGTCTCTGAGTGAGTCCTACTAATAACCTGCTACAACTGCTTCCCAGGATGAAAATTTGTGGCTGCATAGAGCAGGACAAACAGG